TTGGAGACCCCTGCCTTAGAGATAAACCAAGGGTCTTCAAACTTGGCAAATTTAAGACTTGTGGACTTCAACACCCCCCCTCCCCCAGAATTCCTCAGGTAATATGACTGGAGGAAGAGGGATTCTGGGAGCGGAAGTCCACAAGTCTTAAAGTGGCCATGGTTGGATACACCTTGTATAGGGTCTTCTTCTTGAGCAGGGGTTGGACTAGAAGACCTCCAAGGTCCCTTCCAGCTGTTTATTCTGTTCTACTCTTTCTATATTCCAAGGGTCTTCAAACTTGGCAGCTTGAAGACTTGTGGATTTCAACTCCCAGAATTCCCGAGCTAACATGACTGGAGGAGGAGGAATTCTGGGAGTTGAAGCCCACAAGTCTTCAAGCGGCCAAGTTCGAAGACCCCTGCTCTACAAGACCGTCTCCTGCCCAAAGGCCCCTGACTCATCCCCTGAAGTCATCAGTGGCTGGACCTGCAACCAGGTGATCCTGGGCCCTCAGCCAGGACCAGGCCATTCCTCAGCTCGCGTCGAGTTCAGAAGGGTCCAAGGGCCACCTCCTCTCTCCTTCCCCTCACAGCGTCCCTTCCTCCCACCTGGGCGCCATCCCCAACAGGGGTGCTCCAGAGGAGCCCAGATCACAGGAGGCCCCTCCACACTCACCTGGGGGTCCTCGGGTGGCTTTTGCAGACTTCTTCTCGCGACACCACTTGTTGACGTCCCTGAAGGAGAAGAGCTTGAGGAAGAGGACGGTGTGGACCGAGAGGGCAAAGATGGCCCCAGCTGTGGAAGAAGGGGGGGAAGAGAAGGTGAGAGGCTTCCTCTGATCACGTGGTCTCTCAGGTGGGGTGGCCCCAAAGAATTCATGGCCGAGTCTCAGCTCAGGAGGAAGGATGGGGCGAAGTTGTCTGAACTTGGGGTTTCTAGAATAGGGGTCCCCAAACTTGGTAGCTTTAAGACTTGTGGACTTCAACCCCCAGAATTCCTCAGGTGATATGACTGGAGGAGGAATCCTGGGAGCTGAAGTCCACAAGTCTTAAAGTGGCCGTGGTTGGACACACCTCGTATAGGGTCTTCTTCTTGAGCAGGGGTTGGACTAGAAGACCTCCAAGATCCCTTCCAGCTGTTTATTCTGTTCTACTCTTTCTATATTCCAAGGGTCTTCAAACTGGGCAGCTTGAGGACTTGTAGACTTCCAACTCCCAGAATTCCCGAGCTAACATGACTGGAGGAGGAGGAATTCTGGGAGTTGAAGTCCACAAGTCTTCAAGCTGCCCAGTTTGGAGACCGCTGCTCTAAAAGGTTGAAAGGAAGAGGCCCACAGATTCTCCCCTCTCCCCTCAACCATGAAATAGCCCGAAGACCAGACGGGCCGCGGTCAGAACATACAAAAGCAGCTTTCCCGCGTGTTGCCTGGTGGCTGTGGAGGCCCTCCCAACCTTCCCAAGACCTCTGTCAACCAGAACTCCTCAAACATTCAGATGACCCCAAGCTGGCAGGACTAAGGTGGGCTTAAAATACAGAAGGGTCTCAACAGACGTCATCACTGGGCCCCGTCTAACGAAAGGAAAGCCAAGCGTGAAAAAAGCCAGACTTCACATTTAGGCAAGAAAAAACCAAATCCACAGGTACAGTATAGAGGTAGAACCCGGCTCAACAGCAGTAAGAGCGAGAGGGTGGACCTTGGGAGTCCCAGGAGAGACTCCCTTAAAGAGGAGCCAGCCGTGTGCAGCAACGGCCAAAAAAACGCCAGCCCAGTTCTAGGCTGCACCCACGGAGGATCAAGATCGAGCGAAGAGTTACTACCACTTTTATAAGGCCTTGGCGAGGCCACACTTGGAATACCGAATCCGGGTTTCGGTTGGCACGATGTAAATGTGGAGAGTCTAGAAAGAGCGCAGAGAAGAGCGATAAAGACAGTTAGGGGGCTGGAGGCTAAAACCTACAAAGAACGATCGCAGGAAATGGGCCTGGCTAGTCCAGGGACGGGATTCAAATGCTCTTATGTGGCTTGGTGAGCGTGGCAGGGGAAGGAGACTGTAAAATCTCCAGTCAAAGGTAGAATTTGGCAGTTCTCCGAACTACTCAACGTTTGCTGATGGCTGGTCTAGGGAAGAGAAGGACCAGGGGAGACAGGAGAGCAGCCTTCCGATATCTGAGGGGCTGCCCCAGAGAGGAGGAAGGGGGTCAAGCTATTTTCCAAGGCCCCCGAAGGCCAGATAAGGAATAATAATGGATGGAAACTGAACAAGGAGAGATTCAATCCAGAAAGAAGGAAGAATTTCCCAACAGCAATCGACCAACGGAACAGCGTATTAATCAGTCCTCCAAAGCCCCGGAAGGCAGGACAAGAAGCAACGGATGGAAACCCATCAACGAGAGAAGCAACTCAGAATGAAGAAGGACTTTCCTGGTAGTTACGACCATCAACCCGTGGAAGTGCTTCCCTCGAGAGGCTGTGGGTGTGCTCCGTCCCTGGAGGGTTTTAAGGAGACCGAAAGGATATCAGGGCTCCTGCTTGAGCAGGGGGCTGGACTAGATGACTTCGAAGGTCCCTTCCAGCTCCGTTATGCTGTTAAGTCTGACCGTGCTGGCAGGAAACTGGGAAAGACGCAGCCCCATCCATGAACAAGCTGATGGGAGCAGGACAGGCTGGGAAGACCGTCCAAGCACCCGGTTGCCCTGTCAGAGCCTATTCATGAACTGGGACGGAGCTTGATAACAAGGTCAGCCAATAAATAGGCGTAGCAACTAAGTCAGCCAAGGAGGGCTGTTTGGAAACTGAAACTAGAAGCAGCCTAGGCTTGGCTCTGTGTTAAGCTCTGCAACTCTGCAGCCAGGTTGAGCGCCGAGTCCGTCTGTTGAAGATGAAACTAACTTGCTTGCTTGCTGAAGACCTGGAGCTCTGCTCTGAACGTGCAATATGTGTCTGTTTGAGTTTGCTCTCGGTGGACGGAATCTACAACTGGTTTGTAAAATCTACTTATGTTTATAAAGATGTTAAACGAAGCATCAGCCACCTGTTTTTTTATTCTTCCGGTGCTGAAGTATCCCTGCAAAACTCTCAATAGGCCCCAAGACCCCCTTCCCAGCCAGGCCATTCCCACGAGGCAGCCTGCCTTGCGAGACCCCCACCGCAGGAGAGCACCCACCTGGAGTGACGGAGGTGACAGCCAGCACCACCAGGGCAGGGAAGCATAACACCATCAGGAGGTTGAAAGTGTGCAGGACCGTCCCGCTTTGCTCCGATAAGGAGCCCTGAAGCGCAAAAGAAAAAGGCATTTAATCAGAGCACACCCCCCACAAAAAAAAGGCTTCAGCACAGTCCAGACCCCCACCAGGAAATGGTAACTCTCGCGGTGACATATATGGGGGAAACGATCCAGAATTGGGCTCAAGGCCTTACTGGTTATCCGACCTAATCAGGACTCCCTGCACGGCAGCTGCCTTTCCGAAAAGTGGCATCAGGGATGTCCAATCATGGCGACTTGAAGACTTACGGACTTCAACTCCCAGAATTCCCCAGCCAGCACACGCACTGGTTGGGGAATTCCTGGAACGGAAGCCCAGAGTTCTTAAAGTTGCCACGGCTGGGTATCCCCTTTCACCCCATAATCCCTTGCACTGGAACGGAGTCTGGGCAACCGAATGCAGCGGAGTGATTACTGGCCGGATGCCCTTCCTGTCACCAATGCGGAGTTCTTGCTCAGCAGATATATATTCCCACTGTGGCCAGAGAGAGAAATATCTGCCTCGGATTGAGCGCACAGCCTCCTAATTGGGAGGCCAGAGCTCCAACCTCGAGGCCACCGCACCACGCCGGTCCCCGGCCTTACCTCCAGCCCTGAATAGGTCACCCCCAGAGAAAGCCAGACACGCCACAAACCAGCCCACCATAACCCTCAGGCACCAACCCCCCCCCCGCCTCTCCTTGTCCCCCTTGTTCTCAAGGGCCAGGGATGGCAAAGGGCACAGGTGCAGCCCTCCACTTACAACCGCCGTCGCGATCCAAAACGGGTCGCCAAGCGAGGCAGCCGTTGAGTGAGTTGTGACTCATTTTACGACCTTTCTTTCCACAGTTGTTAAGTGAACCACTGCAGTGCTTAAGGGAGTCTGGCTCCCCCCATTGGCTTGGCTTGTCAGGAGAGTGCAAAAGGGGGGCACGCAGGAGTCAGTGGTCGAGCGTTTGAATTTTGATCCTGTGACCTCGAGGAGGCTGCAACCGTCCTTAAGTGTGAAAACCAGTCCTAGGACGCTTCGTTTGCTGCCGCTGTAACTTTGAACGGTCGTTAAATTAACCGGCAAGTCTTTGTGCTGAAACAACCAGGAGAAGACCTGATCCCGTGAGCGAGATGGGAGTCTCTACCTCGGATGTTGCCTTTATTTCAGAAAATCTGCACGGCTGCCCAGGTCATCCCCAGCGACTCCGGGCGGCTTACAATAAAGGCAAAACCCGGATATAAAACAATATAAAAACCGAACCGCCCACGGCCGGATCGAGTGGGGACAAGGGTTACCCGAGGACTTGACCTGCAAATAAATAAATAAAGCCAGAGGAATAAAAGCGGAAGGACGGCACCCCAACCCATCACCCCCGCTCACCGTTGCAAGCTTCTTCTCTACGTGGAGGGTCACCAGGGCGAAGCCGTTGGCCCCTGAGAAGGAAGGCAGAAGGACGCTGGTCACAGGCAGGCCAGCCCCGAAGGAGGGGGCCCCTGCTCCCCACCCCCCCAAAGGCCTCGGGCTTCCCTCTCCACTAAACCGGGCGGGAGGGAGCCCCCTTCCGCTGGAACGCACCCTTAGTAGCCCTCTCCACGTCACGCCAGAGCGTCCAGAACCTGACACACACACGCACACACACACACACACCCCAGCAAAGTTTCGGGGGTTCTTGAGATAGAGGCGGTTAAGAACCCACCTACCATCATCTCCCCATCCCGAAGGGAGCCAAGTTGACTCACCAATAATAAGGCATGGAGCTGGCCAGCTATAGGGGTCCTTCAGAAACAGGGAGATGACCTGGATGGGGTCCACCAGGATGCCGTACCTGAAAAAAACGAAGAACCTGGTTGGCTGTGGGCCCACTGGGGGTTGGGGGGAGGGAGGGAGGGAGGGAGGGAGGGAGGGGCGGCTGTTGTGGGATGGAGCAGCCTATCAGCCTCCCCCCATTCTGCCCAGTCTTATCTATTTGCAGCCCAAAGCCAAGTTCTGTGGAGTTGGAGGGGTCCTTGGTGCTCTCTTAGCTCGCTTGGTTTTTTGCAGAAGTTTCATTATCGTCATCAGGGCTAAATCTCTGTCGTTTGAGCACTGCCCCCCCGCCCCCCAATTTGTCCCAGAGGATTCCAAGACTTTTAAGCAAGGGGACGGGAGCGGCCTGGCCCCCCCTCTGGGTAGAGAAGGACCTCAGGTTTACAGAATGGGGGTGGGAGGCCCATAGTACCTTCAGAGTGTGGGAAACGGTGCAAACGGTGCTTTGCCTCATGCACAACGCTGCATTTTACCTTGGGAGGGGGGGCTGCACGCACACCACGCACCGCACCAATGTCTCCCTCTCGTGAGCAACCGTGAGCCTTGCCTGCTGCAGGGGAAGCGGGCAGGCAGCCTTCCAAGTTGCAGGAAGATATTTGATGTGCCCGTAGCACTGGCCTCAAGTGGGCTGGGCTATCGTCGAGGTCACCGTGGGAGGGGCTGAAGAAGATCAGAGCCCAGAGGGTATCCAACCATGGCCACTCAAGGAGACCGGTGGACTTCAACTCCCAGAATTCCCCAGCCGGCTGTAGTCTCCATCGAGGGAAGGCAAGAGAGGCAGCTTAGCTGGGAAGAGACGGCGTGCGTGCAGAGAGGACGTGGAGCCACAGGGTGGCAGCACCCGCCTTGCCCATCTGACGGAAATAGAAAACCCGCCAGGCGGCTTCCCAGCCTGGCACCCTGGCATTCAGGAGGAGCTGCAGGGGTAGCAGACCTGGTCTGACTCCCTTCGCTGGGGCTGGGGGTGTGGGGGGGAGGACACCCCCTTTCCTAGCCCATTCAGTCACAGTTTTGTTCCATAGAGCTTTGCTGGCTGAGGGATTCTGGGAGTTGAAGTCCACGAGTCTTAGAGCGCCAAGGCTGGAGACCCCTGCCATAGAATACCAGGATAGATGGATGTATATAGCAGGTGTGTGTGTGTGTGTGTGTGTGTGTGATGGTGTGTATCTGATAGCAGGTGTGTATCTGTGTGTGTGTGTGTAGGTATATATGTAGATGTAGATGTAGATGCAGATTTAGATATATGGGCTGCCCCAAAGGGGCTTTTTCCAAAAAGGAAATTGGACTTCCTTGTTTTTTTCCCCCACTTTGACAATGTTTCGCTTCTCATCCAAGAAGCACCTGGAGTTCTGACTACCTGGCGGAGAAGGGATTTATGCTCCTGCAGTTTACCTGGTCTCCAAAAGCGCCTTTGCTAGAGGGGCAACTGCAGAGACCTAAGCCCGTCCCTAACCTCTCCCCCCTGCACCCCCTTGTTGAAGCTGAGGACAAGCAAGGCTACAAAAGGTGGACTCTGATGGATTCCCTGCCGGGCCTAGACTGACTTGGCACCCAAGGGCAGTCCCTCCGTGGCCCCCTCGTGAACACCACCCCCCTCCTGGGCGAGAGGCCAGGGAGCAGGCCAAGGGGCGGGGGCGGGGGTGTGTGTGAGCCCTCCTGGAAAAGCCGGAGGGCGGGGAAGAGCACCCGGCACTTACTTGATGAGGTTCTCCAGGAAGAGGCGGGCGTTGCTGAGGACCTGCAGGGAAAGGAGACGGTCAGGGCCGATATAATCCTCCGGCATTCGGCCAAAAGAAAGGGGGGGGGGGGTAGGGAAGAAGAGCCACAGGACAGACCACCACTGAGCCCAGAAATTCCCACTGCCAAGCCAAGCGCTTGTTGAGCTTGGATGACGTGACCACCGCCACCCCAGGACACCGAAACGGTCGTAAATAGGAGTCGGTTGCCGAGCGTCTGAATTTTGGTCCCGTGACCACGGGTTGCTGTTATCGGTCACAGTGTGGGAAACATAGTTCATTTTTTTCCAGTGATGTTGTAATTTTGAACTGTCACTAAATGAATTGTTGTAAGTCGAGGTCCGCCTGTATTGTTTACCATACGTTGAGAACATGACAGAATACACACACACACACACGCACACACACATGATCCACCTAATTATACCGAAAATGTGCATGGGGATTATGGCAGTGACATCCTCCTAAGGCCTTCCAGGATCACACCGAATTCTGTTCAACTTTTGTCCAGACAGAGCAAGGCAGGTCAAACCTATTGGGTTGAAGCCAGGAGGGTGTCCAACCTTGGCAAATTGAAGACTTCTGGCCTTAAGACTTGTGGCCTTCAACTCCCAGAATTCCCCAGCCTGCTTAGCCAGCTCTTCCCAAGTTTAAGACTTGTTAGATTAGATTAACAGAGTTGGAAGGGAACTTCTAGGTCATCTAGTCCAGCCGACTGCCCAAAGAGGAGACCCTACACCATTTGTGACCGATGGCAGTCCAGTCTCTTCTTGAGAGCCTCCAGGGACGAAGCTCCCACAACTTCCAAAGGCAACTTTTGTTCCATGGATTGATTGTTCTCAATGTCAGAAAGTTTCTCCTTATTTCCAGGTTGAATCTCTCCTTGATCAGTTTCCATCCATGATTCCTTGTCTGGCCTTCAGGTGCTTTAGAAAATAGCTTGATCCCTTTCTCCTCCTTTCTGGGGCAGCCCCTCAAATATTGGAAGATGCTCTCCTGTCTCCCCTGGTCCTTCTCTTCCCTAGACCAGCCAGGCCCAGTTCCTGCAACCGTCTGTTGTATCTTTTAGCCTCCCGTTCCCTCATCATCCTGGTTGCTCTTCTCTGCACTCTTTCTAGAGTCTCAACATCTTTTTTTTATAGTGTGGAGATCAAAACTGGACGCAGGACTCTAGGTGTGGCCTTACTAAGGCTCTTTATAGAGTGGTCTTAGTCCCTCCCTTGATGTGGATTGTATCCCTCTGTTAATGCAGCTTAGGATTGCATGGGCTTTTTTGGCTGCCGCTGCACACGGCTGGCTCCTATTTAGCTGGATGTCCCCTAAGACTCCGAGATCCCCCTCCCAGTTGGGGAGGAGGAGGGGGAGGATGCCCATCCCAGGTGTTGGAGGGGCCTTGCTGTGCCAAGCGTGCAGTTACAAGGCGGGGCATCGCTCACAGCTTCAGGGCAAAGGTTGCCAAGAGCGATGGGGAAATGTGCCAGGAACACTTTGAACTCCCTTCTCCACTCCCAGGTTAACTAATCCTGCAGCCGAACTCAACTGGGTCCCTGGAGGGCAGGTGGGCTGGCAGGAGTGCCAGGTGCAGCCACGCCCTGGTTGAAGGTCAAGGAGGCAGCGTGGCAAGCAAGGGATTGGCACCTCCAACTGCCGGCTAGGGGAGCAGCCGGAAGCAGGAAGAGGGGTGATGGCAGAGGTGCCCTGCGTGTGGTTCACGGACAGAGGGGCACCCCACTTTTCGTTAAGGTCTCGTGATGGAGAGACCATCCCCCCCACCCCCCAGGGATGGATGCCAAGCAACGCAGCAGTCCTTGGCCGGGGCAGCCAGCAGCGGGCACGCCACCAACAGGGAGACAACCGTGGCCAATGTAAGACTTGTGGCCGGCAGGGGAATTCTAGGAGTTGAAGTCCACAAGTCTTAAAGTGGCCACGGTTGGACCCCCCGATCCCCCGGTTGAGGTCCATCTTGTTAGGAGGCTGTCAGAGGCACCTCACTCCTCCGTTCAGAGAAGGTTCAAGGGGCTCTAACGGGAGCCCGCTGGCTGAACTGATGGGGGGGTCCGTTTCAGCAGACGCTGCCCCAAAGTAGCTTCCGGTCCATATGAGCGAACACAGGAAGAACGGTGGCAGGAAGCGGGGAACGGCCAGTCTAGTGAAAAGAAGGACCGGGGGTGACATGACCGGAGGGCTCCGGTATTTGAGGGGCCGCCCCCAAAGAAGAGGGGGGGTGGGTCAATCGATTCTCCAAAGCCCCTGAAAGCAGGACAAGCAGCAACGGGTGGACGCCCATCAAGGAGAGAAACAACTTGGACTTAAGGAGAAACTTCCTAACCACGAGAGGAAGGAATCCTTGGAAGGGCTCACACACACACCCTGTAGTTGTAAGCGCTTCATCCCTGGAGGCTTTTAAGAAGAGGCCGGACAGCCAAGGGTCTCCTGCTTGAGTGGGGGGCTGGACTAGATGACCTCAGAGGTCCCTTCCAGCTCGGTTATGCGGTTATTGTTTTCTTTGAGTCGGTGTCCCCTGGCCCAGTTGGCAAGAACCGGCTGTTAGGGGCTGGATTACCCGGCTTGGCACAGCTGCGCCCCAGCGGGTGCAGCTGGCAATCCGATCCCCTTGCAGGAGAGGCCGATCTGCAGTGCGGATGGACCTTGGGAGGGAGCCCAGCGCTGCAGTCGGGCTGCCCTGCGGTCGCGCCAGCTTCTTGGAGGCCGGGAGCC